TCTTTTAAATCAGGATCTACGGTCCCACTGTCCTGGGATAATCATCTACATACCCTGTCTTTCAAGAAGCTGAGCACATCTCATTTGGTTTTCATTCTGCACAGCTGCTGGCCATGATGCCTACTTTTGTGTAATTGCCCAGCGGTTACAGCTATGGAGGAATGAACCTCATTTCAGTTCCTGCCTTTGCTTAAGGCAGCCTTTCACCTTGCAGGAGAGTGCCTAACCATCAGGGTGTTGTTCTAGGTAGGGTACAGTTTCTACATTTTACAGTAGACACTCAGTAAACTATAAGAACATTTCTGGCAGTGGGCACTGGAGACCCAGACTCTCTTTTCCCAAAGGAAAAACCTAATTGTTACCCCAGAATTAGGCTGAAGACGTTGCTCAACTTTTCAGTTTCTATAGCCTATTAATCCTGTGTTCTTTTCTACATGATAGCAGAGCTTCAAAAAGAGGGATGAAGAGCGCTTAGTGCCTAGAATACATCCTGGCAATTTAGGTAGCTGCAGACTGTTTTGCTCATGCTTAGGAAAGCATCAAGCCTGACTCCTATGTCCTGAGTGACTGATCTGCCCACTGAATTATTATGTAAAAGCAAATTTGAGGCCCTGCCCCATCTGCTCCTTAAAAGAAGGTAGTGGATCACTTCACTCAGCATGGCCCAAGCCAAATGGTGCATGCTGGGCATGTCCCGGCAATATTTACCCAGCTGAGCCCTGAAGAAACGTCTGAACATTTTGTTTTCTGATTCAGATCTGGAATGAATGCGAGCTGGGCTGCTCTTGTCAAGGCTGGGGGAATTCCTCAGCAGGGCATGGGCACAGCTACAGGTCCCTGGGAAGCATCAAATAAAAAGTGTGGCATCTCTTGACTGACTTGACAACTGAACTGCAGTTTTCAAAATAACAATTTGGGATTTAAGTGTTTACATTCTACTTCGATCTCATTTCTGACACCCAAGTGCATTACAATTTTGAAATGGCAGAACTCAGCTAATACAAAGCTAAAAATTGTGAAAGACATAGAAGAACTTCCATTCAGCATTTTTGGGTCATCAAAGTCTGCATTATAAAAGGCTGCGTAGTATTTTTTTTCATTTGTTTAGCTAATCATTTTATGTAAAGTAAGCTTGTATGTCTAGAATAGAAGTTCCCCAATTCTTATTTTGAAAAACTACATTTTGTCTTTTTTTTTTAATATTGACTTTTATTAGAAACAACAGAAATGGCTTTGTTTTTCAAGACCTTCTCAGAGTAAGTCACACTTCAACTTTATGGTTCCAATGCAAAATAATGAAATTCTAATGTAGGAAAACTACACAAAATGATAGCTAGTAGGAAATTAATTCTTGTTTTACTTCCATTTACTGCACTTTCAAAGTTGCAGGTTTCTATATCCAGTCATTTGTGTCAGTGACAGCATAACACTTTTCATCAGTCCCGTACCTGCTACATAGCAATGATAAGAAACACATCCTCACTTCACTTTCCACTCAGTTCTGCTAATATATGGTGTATTTTGTTTCCAGAGTTCTTTTTCGTTCTGATGTCCAGAATACTGCTGAACATAAGGTAAAAAAATGAATGGGAGGCCATATGAATGAATTTACAACAGAAAGATAAAATGTTCCCCAAAGGGCTACCAGAAAATCATGCCGCATGTCAGAGGAGGAAGGAGGGGGAGTGGTGGGATCATGCTCATAAGCAGTGATGAATACAAAAGATTTAAAACCTCCTCAAACCAAAGCAGACTATACAAGTGACTGTGCTTATACAAACATTAAAAACCTAAAAGAACACAGACCCCACATTTCTTTACCACATTTTTGGTGGGCAGGAAGTAAATGCCTTGTTGTTGGCGTTCTGGTCTTCTGAAATTCAGTTTTGCACAATGTTGTCTGCATTGGCCTAACTTCTGTAAAGGGCTTTTTCTCAGTTTTCCCCAATAAAGTAAACTCACTTGATAGTGGTGCTCTCTGAAATACTCCAGTACATTCCTGACAGCTTCACCAGAAAATGTTTACTAGAGTGTTCTAGCCAGTGTTTTACCTCTCTTAGATGCACTACCACACTTTGGCAGCACCACATTACCCAAGGCTGCAAGAAATACAAATTCTCTGTCTAAAACTGCTACCTTCTCAGAGTCCATTTTATCTTCAAGTGAAAAATGAAGAATTTAAAGGGAGATTGCAAGCAATAACTTATCAATTTGTCTTCCCTGTGCTAGGACAAACAGTATTTACTTTCAAAGAATCATAGAATGGTTTGGGTTGGAAGGGACCTTAAAGATCATCTAGTTCCAACCCCACTGCCATGGGAAGGGACAACTTCCACTAGACCACATTGCTCAAAGCCCCATCCAACCTGGCCCTGAACACTTCCAGGGATGGGGCATCCACAGCTTCTCTGGGCAACCTGTTCACCACTCTCATAGTGAAGAATTTCTTCCTTATATCTAATCTAAATCTACCTCCTTTCAGTTTAAAGCCATTATCCCTTGTCCTATTACTACATGCCCTTGTAAACAGTCCCTCTCCATCTTTCCTGTAGGCCCCCTTCAGGTACTGGAAAGTACCCCCTTCAGGTACTGGAAAGAGCCTTCTCTTTTCCCCAACTCTCTCAGCCTGTCTTCATAGGAGAGGTGCTCCAGCCCTCTGATCATCTTTGTGACCTTCCTCTGGACTCGCTCCAACAGGTCCATGTCCTTCTTATGTTGGGGGCCCCAGAGCTGAATGCAGTACTCCAGGTGTGGTCTCATGAGAGCGGAGTACAGGGAGAGAATCACCTCCCTTGACCTGCTGGTCACGCTTCTTTTGATGCAGCCCAGGATACGGTTGGCTTTCTGGCACATTGCCGGGTTGTGTTGAGCTTCTCATCAACCAATACCCCCAAGTCTTTCTCCTCAGGGCTGCTCTCAATCCATTCTCCACCCAGCCTGTGTTTGTGCTTGGGATTGCCCCGACCCAT